AACCATTTAGAGTTGTATTGTCAAAAGAGACTCATTTCTAAAAAGTCAAACATTTAACTCTTCTGTTCAACCTTGTCAGAGCTTTTTAAATCATTAGAAGTAGCGGGTTAGAGTTGTATGCATATTGCTCAAAAGAGACTCATTTCTAAGGGAAAGTCAAGCAAACTTTAACTCTTCTGTTCATTGAGCTTGTCAGAGCTATTTAAATCATTAGTAACCCTTTAGAAGTAGCGGGTTAGAGTTGTATGCATATTGCTCAAAAGAGACTCATTTCTAAGTGGAAAGTCAAGCAAACTTTTAACTCTTCTGTTCATTGAGCTTGTCAGAGCTATTTAAATCATTAGTAACCCTTTAGAAGTAGCGGGTTAGAGTTTGCTCAAAAGAGACTCATTTCTAAGTGGAAAGTCAAGCAAACTTTAACTCTTCTGTTCATTGACCTTGTCAGAGCTATTTAAATCATTAGTAACCCTTTAGAAGTAGGTTAGAGTTGTATGCAAAAAAGAGACTCATTTCTAAGTGGAAAAAGTCAAACTTTAACTCTTCTGTTCATTGAGCTTGTCAGAAAATCATTAGTAACCCTTTAAAGTAGCGGGTTAGAGTTGTATGCATATTGCTCAAAAGAGACTCATTTCTAAGTGGAAAGTCAAGCAAACTTTAACTCTTCTGTTCATTGAGCTTGTCAGAGCTATTTAAATCATTAGTAACCCTTTAGAAGTAGCGGTTAGAGTTGTATGCATATTGCTCAAAAAGAGACTCATTTCTAAATGGAAAGTCAAGCAAACTTTAACTCTTCTGTTCATTGAGCTTGTCAGAGCTATTTAAATCATTAGTAACCCTTTAGAAGTAGCGGGTTAGAGTTGTATGCATATTGCTCAAAAAGAGACTCATTTCTAAGTGGAAAGTCAAACAAACTTTAACTCTTCTGTTCATTGAGCTTGTCAGAGCTATTTAAATCATTAGTAACCCTTTTAGAAGTAGCGGGTTAGAGTTGTATGCATTTAAATTGCTCAAAAGAGACTCATTTCTAAAAAGGAAAGTCAAGCAAACTTTAACTCTTCTGTTCATTGAGCTTGTCAGAGCTATTTAAATCATTAGTAACCCTTTAGAAGTAGCGGGTTAGAGTTGTATGCATATTGCTCAAAAGAGACTCATTTCTAAATGGAAAGTCAAGCAAACTTTAACTCTTCTGTTCATTGAGCTTGTCAGAGCTATTTAAATCATTAGTAACCCTTTTAGCGGGTTAGAGTTGTATGCATATTGCTCAAAAGAGACTCATTTCTAAGTGGAAAGTCAAGCAAACTTTAACTCTTCTGTTCATTGAGCTTGTCAGAGCTATTTAAATCATTAGTAACCCTTTAGAAGTAGCGGGTTAGAGTTGTATGCATATTGCTCAAAAAGAGACTCATTTCTAAGTGGAAAGTCAAGCAAACTTTAATTCTTCTGTTCATTGAGCTTGTCAGAGCTATTTAAATCATTAGTAACCCTTTAGAAGTAGCGGGTTAGAGTTGTATGCATATTGCTCAAAAGAGACTCATTTCTAAGTGGAAAGTCAAGCAAACTTAACTCTTCTGTTTATTGAGCTTGTCAGAGCTATTTAAATCATTAGTAACCCTTTAGAAGTAGCGGGTTAGAGTTGTATGCATATTGCTCAAAAGAGACTCATTTCTAAGTGGAAAGTCAAACTTTTAACTCTTCTGTTCATTGAGCTTGTCAGAGCTATTTAAATCATTAGTAACCCTTTAGAAGTAGCGGGTTAGAGTTGTATGCATATTGCTCAAAAGAGACTCATTTCTAAATGGGAAAGTCAAGCAAACTTTAACTCTTCTGTTCATTGAGCTTGTCAGAGCTATTTAAATCATTAGTAACCCTTTAGAAGTAGCGGGTTAGAGTTGTATGCATATTGCTCAAAAGAGACTCATTTCTAAGTGGAAAGTCAAGCAAACTTTAACTCTTCTGTTCATTGAGCTTGTCAGAGCTATTTAAATCATTAGTAACCCTTTAGAAGTAGTGGGTTAGAGTTGTATGCATATTGCTCAAAAGAGACTCATTTCTAAGTGGAAAGTCAAGCAAACTTTAACTCTTCTGTTCATTGAGCTTGTCAGAGCTATTTAAATCATTAGTAACCCTTTAGAAGTAGCGGGTTAGAGTTGTATGCATATTGCTCAAAAGAGACTCATTTCTAAGTGGAAAGTCAAGCAAACTTTAACTCTTCTGTTCATTGAGCTTGTCAGAGCTATTTAAATCATTAGTAACCCTTTAGAAGTAGCGGGTTAGAGTTGTATGCATATTGCTCAAAAGAGACTCATTTCTAAGTGGAAAGTCAAGCAAACTTTAACTCTTCTGTTCATTGAGCTTGTCAGAGCTATTTAAATCATTAGTAACCCTTTAGAAGTAGCGGGTTAGAGTTGTATGCATATTGCTCAAAAGAGACTCATTTCTAAATGGGAAAGTCAAGCAAACTTTAACTCTTCTGTTCATTGAGCTTGTCAGAGCTATTTAAATCATTAGTAACCCTTTAGAAGTAGCGGGTTAGAGTTGTATGCATATTGCTCAAAAGAGACTCATTTCTAAGTGGAAAGTCAAGCAAACTTTAACTCTTCTGTTCATTGAGCTTGTCAGAGCTATTTAAATCATTAGTAACCCTTTAGAAAGCGGGTTAGAGTTGTATGCATATTGCTCAAAAGAGACTCATTTCTAAGTGGAAAGTCAAGCAAACTTTAACTCTTCTGTTCATTGAGCTTGTCAGAGCTATTTAAATCATTAGTAACCCTTTAGAAGTAGCGGGTTTAGAGTTGTATGCATATTGCTCAAAAGAGACTCATTTCTAAGTGGAAAGTCAAGCAAACTTTAACTCTTCTGTTCATTGAGCTTGTCAGAGCTATTTAAATCATTAGTTAACCCTTTAGAAAGTGGAAAGTCAAGCAAACTTAGAGTTTTAAATCATTAGTATGCAAAAGAGACTCATTTCTATATCAAGCAAACTTTAACTCTTCTGTTCATTGACCTTGTCAGAGCTATTTATGTAACCCTTTAGCTCAAAAGACTCATTTCTAAGTGGAAAGTCAAGCAAACTTTAACTCTTCTGTTCATTGAGCTTGTCAGAGCTATTTAAATCATTAGTAACCCTTTAGAAGTAGCGGGTTAGAGTTGTATGCATATTGCTCAAAAGAGACTCATTTCTAAGTGGAAAGTCAAGCAAACTTTAACTCTTCTGTTCATTGAGCTTGTCAGAGCTATTTAAATCATTAGTAACCCTTTAGAAGTAGCGGGTTAGAGTTGTATGCATATTGCTCAAAAAGAGACTCATTTCTAAGTGGAAAGTCAAGCAAACTTTTAACTCTTCTGTTCATTGAGCTTGTCAGAGCTATTTAAATCATTAGTAACCCTTTAGAAGTAGCGGGTTAGAGTTGTATGCATATTGCTCAAAAGAGACTCATTTCTAAGTGGAAAGTCAAGCAAACTTTAACTCTTCTGTTCATTGACCTTGTCAGAGCTATTTAAATCATTAGTAACCCTTTAGAAGTAGCGGGTTAGAGTTGTATGCATATTGCTCAAAAGAGACTCATTTCTAAGTGGAAAGTCAAGCAAACTTTAACTCTTCTGTTCATTGAGCTTGTCAGAGCTATTTAAATCATTAGTAACCCTTTAGAAGTAGCGGGTTAGAGTTGTATGCATATTGCTCAAAAGAGACTCATTTCTAAGTGGAAAGTCAAGCAAACTTTAACTCTTCTGTTCATTGAGCTTGTCAGAGCTATTTAAATCATTAGTAACCCTTTAGAAGTAGCGGGTTAGAGTTGTATGTATATTGCTCAAAAGAGACTCATTTCTAAGTGGAAAGTCAAGCAAACTTTAACTCTTCTGTTCATTGAGCTTGTCAGAGCTATTTAAGTCATTAGTAACCCTTTAGAAGTAGCGGGTTAGAGTTGTATGTATATTGCTCAAAAGAGACTCATTTCTAAGTGGAAAGTCAAGCAAACTTTAACTCTTCTGTTCATTGAGCTTGTCAGAGCTATTTAAATCATTAATAACCCTTTAGAAGTAGCGGGTTAGAGTTGTATGTATATTGCTCAAAAGAGACTCATTTCTAAGTGGAAAGTCAAGCAAACTTTAACTCTTCTGTTCATTGAGCTTGTCAGAGCTATTTAAATCATTAGTAACCCTTTAGAAGTAGCGGGTTAGAGTTGTATGCATATTGCTCAAAAGAGACTCATTTCTAAATGAAAAGTCAGGCAAAGATAATCCAGATTAGTCAAGAGTAGAATTTGAAGAGAATTTAAGATCAAAACATTCTGCTTTATCAGCAGATGTTAAATCCTCAAATCGAGTAAAGAGAGGAGAGATGATAGAAGACTTACTCTTATTTCAAACACTGTTACACAGCCGCTGGTAGTTGTTGTTTTCTTAACGCTGAAATAAATTGGCACCAAAAATTGAATTTCAATTTCTAGGTAATATTTTTTGAGAGACTGTGTTGTGCCACGGCCTTCAGGAATGGGATACAAATCGATATCTATATCGTTATTTTTTAGTGGATACCCGTATTTGAGTAGACGCTCCGTTTATTTTAAACAGTATTTATTTCGTTTATCGGCTTACGTACTGGAGAAAGAAGGCTGTTTATTAAGTTTTCTCGGCGAGGCAAACGGGTAGACGAAATAAATACTGTTTAAAATTAACGGAGTGTCTACTTAAATACGGGTAGAAAAACGATATCTAGTATGTCAAAGCGGGTGTTTACTCTAGACTGACCGTCGATGTCAGGGGCTTAGCTTACACAAATAGTAATCAATCTTGATATGATAAGTGTCCGGGGTTGCATTTTTCTTCATTTAAATATCTTGCTCTATACGCGACGTAGTAATGATGTAGTCTTGTAAACAAGAATAAGTATTTTGTGTGGGCGGGAAAAGAAAAGGTTTTGGGAGGAGTCTATCTACTTCATTATCTGATAAATAAACCAATTGAAAGCTTAACTTCTTTAAGATCTCTCCGACTCTTAGATGTTTCAGCTGGGTGATGATGGTCATATTTCAATTCCTACTTACATTTCTTTAGAGTTCTTGTATCATTGGGCAAACCTGATTACCCCCCCCTTCCCCTTCACTCCCCGTTACTCCTGCACCGGGGAAAGGCGCTCGAATACCTGCACATTCTTTCCATATGCAGTACAGGCCTGCCCTGATCTGATACATTTGTAATAGGTCTCTTCATAATGAAATACATTCGTTGATATAAAAATTTTAACTTCCATAGTGTGTCTTTTTTTACAGTGACATTCTCACTAGTTAAGGTGTATCGTGATTTCAACAATAGATTGCCATTGAAGATTCTTAGAGGCCATCTCTCCTCACAGATGTCTGACCAAAGAGTAGGGGTCTTTAATTCCCAGCGGGCTTACAGGTAGTTCTTCGTCCCCCTGATAATTATTATTATTACAGGCTTAGAATCCTTTATCCGAAATTCTCAGGACCGGAAGTGCTTCATTTTTCAGGGTTTTTTTTTTTCGGATTTTAGAATACAGGCTATTTAATTTGTAAATAGCATCTATAAAATAACGCAGCTTGGGAATGGAACCTAAGCATAAATACTATATCTCTTTACATTTTATAACAAAGCTTATACATAAACCTTGAAGGTAGTTTGAAATAAGCGCCATATGTTCACTCCGATGCTGACGAATCCACTCCTTCAATACACAATCGAGATCATCATTATTTTACTCTGTACGGTGTTTTTCTATTTTTCATTAATTTCTATTCATCATTTTCAATATAAAACTTTTACAATTTCTTCTGTTTTCTTAAAGCGAATATGGTGGTTGTTACAACGCCAAACTCCTCAGTCACACGCTTCTGCAACAGTTTGACTTTCTGTGATATTGAGAAACATAAATGCTTTCTTTTTTTTTCACTACCCATGTGGGGGTATCTGCAGGACTTTTTGACAGTTTGAATAATATCTTTACTGAACACAAAACACCTGGTAAATAATCCAAGTACGAAGGTGTTGCTGTGACGATCGCTAACAAAAACTGGCGCCAATGTAAGCTACATAGCTGGGTTGGGGGACCCCCACACAGGTCAGACGAGGTCATTTACAACAGCTGCACATCATCTAGGAACCTTTTTGAAATATTCCATTTATGGCAAGTTATGTCAGTACCTGAAAAACTATTGCATTTTGGCATTTCGGATAAAGGATACTCAACTGCATTATTTTATTTTTTTTTAAAATTTGATTTTCATTTATTTTATATTCCCATATCCGGGTCATAACCTTTAACCTGGAACAAGCGAAGGATGGGATTTTGGTTGTTTCCACTTGTTTAAACAAAAGACAGATGTTAGCAAAAACATTTTAATGGACATTTCGTGGGATATGGGTTGTACCTGTTAGAACATTTTTTTTAATTTTCTGGAAAGATGGCGCTGATTTGTTATTTAGTTCCTTTCTTTATAAGACCCAAAGTTCCAAACACAACAGTAACAGTTTTAGCTTTTCAGTGCTAATTTTTTTTCTATTTCCACCTCCAAGACTGTGTATTTGCATAGTTTTTCAAAAAAGATCGCAGATATTTTTGTCACTTGCTACACTCTTGTCAATCATTGTGCAAACTTTTTCTTTTCTGTTTTTGGTATTATTATTATTATTATTATTATTATTATTATTATTATTATCAAGTGTCCTGGGTATGACGATAAACTACATCCGCGTCCTGGGTAAGACGATAAACTACGTCCAGCAGCAACAGGAGGTTTTGAGGAGCGTGGAACCACCTCTTAATTGCTGGTGTTCCCAGGTCCACCCTGATCCGGGGTGGTAGCACCTGTTAGGGTCCCAGCTATAGGCAAATAGTTAACCCCGAAACTGGGTTAAAAATGGGTTTTGATATCAGGAATACTTTGTAAAAAAAAATTATCAGCAATAAATTTTTGAAGAAAAAAAAAACTATTACCAGCAATATATTTTTGAAAAAAAATATTACCAACAATACGTTTTTGAAAAAACATTACCAGCAATGCATTTTTGAGGAAAAGAAATATTACCAGCAATACATTTTTGAAGGAAAAAATTATTACCAGCAATGCGTTTTTGACAAAACAAAATATTACCAGCAATAAAAACATTGTCGGCATTAACCAACCCATTGAGGTTGATATGCCGTAAAACATAACAAACCAAACCTTAGATCAAAAGGAGATACGGTGGGTCAATGATTAACTTTTCTGTTTCTATTTTATCTTCAATATGAACAGTTTTGGTTGTGTCCCAATTTCTTATTTGTTTCTATTGAAAAATTATACACAATCTTGTCATGTTTTTTAATCGAGGACTTTTTTCAGGTTTAAGAGTTTAATATTCCTTTTCTGGCTGACCCTTCACCCCTAATTCCAATGAATGATTTTGGCAACTTGATCGTGTCGTTATTTTTTATTAGTAGTAGTAGTGTTGTTTTCTTTGTTTATTAAAAAAATCCCCTGGCAATTTTTGAAAGGCTGTCTAACGACCGTCTCCGATCGCCATTTGTCCTTGAATTCGGCATTTGAAACGTAGTCTTTACCTGATTGTTGTCTTGTATCATAACAAACTTCCTGGCAGATGTGCATCTCAAAGGTCGCCCAAAACTGAGCATATCTGCGATCACGTGATACTAGATTTGTTCTCCTGCATAAGTTAACAGTGGATGGCACGGCAGAGTTCGAGAGATAATATTCAAGTTGAGCCAGCGGGGAGGCTTATAAAATGTGAACACGTATAGAATTGGAAGGCATATGGCATCTTCGCAGATAGAATAAGATAACCTTTTGCGTATGGCGTCAGTCATTTTCTGCGAGAGAGTTCGGTAGGGAGAAGCACAATATGTCAGAGTGAGTGCGTGAGCGAAGAGAAGGAGGAAAATAGAATAAAAAGATAGACGAAATAAGAAGTCGTTTCTGTTCACGAGCGTGTTTAATAGAAAATATTGGGTTGGAACAAAAGTGCGTAGCTTATTTTTAATAGGTGGCATTGGAAACTGTGATTTCGTAACTGAAATTTATGCCATGTAATTTATGCATGTAATTTATGCCATGAAATTTAATCATGTAATTTATGACGTCGTACATATTCTGAAAGGTTCACATTTTAGCGCGTCTTTGTATACGATTCGTGTGTTGATTGTGTTGTAGAGTAGTTTTCACAGTGGAGGCTTGTATTTCACTAAGTCGGTCCTAAAAAGGTCCGACGTACAAAACGTTAGAAACTTGAAATAATAGTTAATGACGCAGCAATCTAGTTGTGGTGGTTGATACTTTAATGTCCGACATCGACTGACTCACCAACTCACTCTGAGCCCTGGCGACTGCTACTACTACTACTTATTATAAGTGGGAAAGTCTATTAACAATAGAATAGGTGTGTTTCTAGTATAACAGATTGTGAATTTTAAATGTTTTTTTTATCAAAAATAAAAACGGGGTAAAATGTAATGCATTTTCGTCATTTGATGCTCTGTTATTTCTGGAAATGGGTAAAAACAGCAAAAAAAGGATATGAGTTATTTATGGAGTTGCTGCCATTCGTCAGGCATTTACTAGGTTCAGAAGTTGGTCATCTTGATCTGGAAAAACGAGAACTTTACTGTAGGCCTGCAGTCATTGATGATGACCAAATCGAAACACTGATTTAAAATAAATCTACTCATATAACACGACACATCGCAGAGATTATTCTACATATCTCATATAACGGCTGTAAAGCACTTGAAAACACTTAGATAAGGGAACCCTTAGAATGTTTAATGTGCCTCAAGGTTTAACCTTAAAACAATTCTGCGTTTCCATTTATAATTCTCTGTTCAAATACAAGAATGGTCAAAGGCGATGAAAATGGACAGAAGATATGGAGCGAATTTGTCCTGAGGAAAACGAAATGAACCATCGTCAATTACTCCAAAGGCCGGTCTGCATCCAAAATTGATGCTGTGTATTTGGTGGGATTGGAAGAACATGGTGTATTACGAGTTCATTCTCCAAAATCAGACGTTGAATTACTGTTTCCACTTTGTGATCCAGGGTACTCTGGGGTCGAGAGGTCTAAAACACACTGGATTAGACGATGGTTTCCACTACAAAGGAGAGCGTAGGTTCAAACCCAGCTGGAGAAAACATTAGCTTTATTAAATCTCTCCAATGTGCAGGCCGGTCGGCGTCATTTACACTACTTAAGTAAAACAAAAACAAAAGAATATGAGTATCTAGTTAAAATAACGTTTGTAAAAATAGGAAATGCCGGTCTATACAGTGTGTGTGTGTGTGTGTGTGTGTGTGTGTGTGTGTGTGTGTGTGTGTGAGAGAGAGAGAGAGAGAGGGGGTGGAGAAAGTTGAATAAAAAGTGAATTCAGTTTCGTGAAGAATGAAAAATGAACAGAAGATATTTGATAATTAAAATTTGTAATTCTTTTCTAAAATATTACCAATAAAAGTTTGTTCTTTTTCTGATTGTTCAGTGGTCCGTGTGATCGTCTCGTAAAACATTGACATTAAACACAAACCTGTTTAATTGCTAAAAAAAAAAGGCCTCTTCATGTCAACGAAATTTTTATTTTTGGCTAACAAGCAGAAATTTATATATATATAAAAAAAAAATATATTTTCATTTTTGAAGGAAAGATATTTTTTTTTTTTTTTTTTTTTTTTTTTCTGCTGGGAAATTGGCCATTAAGGATAATATCCGAAATGGGATTCGGACTGCTAAACACTGACGTCATTTCGTGGCCGAAGTAAAGAAGTAAAAATGTCCTTCATTTGTATATTCGTTGCAGCGTTAAATCTGAATAGAGATCTTGATGTGCTACCATACTTTCCCAAGATTCAATCACCGACGAGAATTAAAATAAGTTTGGAAATAAATGGTTTGTCAGTGTTTGTCAGTGTTAAAGTCATATGGAATTCGTAGATTTATGAAAAGATTAAAAAATTTTTTTATGTTAATGCTGATTAAGTTTAATTCATTCAGGCACAAGGCTGAAACAGTGGAGCACCTGATGAAGACGAACTGGTCTGTGAGATTAAATTATTCCTTCTTTCATTCTACTTGGAAATGGGCAATACCAGGTCCTCCTGCCCTAAAATTCCAACGATATCCTTAAGTACGATATCAACCAGTTTATTTATACAGTCTAAGGCGAAACCTACAGCTTCAAATTCGACTTAA